AAAAATGGAAAACTATTAAATAATTACTTAATTATTAATACTTATCTGGAACATCTTTTTTTTGTTGTTCGTTCAAGTGGGATTTGGGAATGATTTACATGAAAGAGAATTATAAATGACTTCTTTTGTGTAAAACAAGAAACGATTGGTTTTTTTCCAAGGTTTATTTTCATTTAAGTTAAATGATACATCGGCAACGGCTAACCGGATTTCGGCTTTCTCATTGCATAACTTTTAAATAATCTTTTTAAAATAATTAGTGGGTAAAGAAAAGTTATAATTTATCATGCCAAGCAAATCAGACTCTTTTTTTTTTACGTGATAATCTGTTATAATCTATCCGCAGCAATTTATTAAATATGAAAAAAAAATGCTTATTTTTATTGAATGAATTAAATTAAATGAATATTACAATGAGTCTATCTAAACGTATGATGATGGTTTTGTTAAAATGCTTGCTTTCTTAAATATTTCATAGTGCAAGGAGTATAAGATATTTTGGACTTAAGTAATTTATCGGAATGATCCCAAAGTTTTTTGGCTAAAGCTTCGTTTAATGCTTTGTCGTTTGGTTTAACTTCTTTACAATTTTCATAATAATTGTAACCCAAATGAATTTGTTTACCTTTCGAGAAAGTTGGGATTAATATTTGTAAAGCGCCATAATCGGGTGATTTAGCGAGCAGCATAAATATACCATGAATTAGTTTCCCTTTAAGTTTTCGACTTTTGTTATAAATATGAAACGCCTTTGGTTTTATTAACCCCGGATGAACCGCTATTGACGTTATGTCTGTTGATTAGATGATAATGGAAGGAATAATGTGTTGTTAAATGTTTCTCGACAAAGATAAACAAGGGCAAGTAATGAAAAGAACCACTTACTGGTGCCTTGCAATCTTCTGTTCAGTTCATTACTAAATATCAGCACCTAAAAAAAAAACCAAGTGAAATATATTTAACGATGTTTATGTTCATAACGATGGAATTTTTTTTATAAGATTACTTACCATTAATTTGGTGTTTACATAATTGTTTATTGATGATTGTCGACCATAAAAATTATCAAAATCAATTGTTCCTGATCTGTGTTCCTTTGAACTCGTATGAATGATTTTACAGGGAAATTCAGGAGATGTGGTTTTCTTTAATGTATCCAACAATAAATTCGTTAACAGAAATTGAGATAAATAATTAACCTGCGAGAAAAAAAAAAAAAAAAAAATTTTTTTTTTTTAGATTCCAAACTTTTAATAATAATTCTCTCCTAAAAGGTGGATCCAGTTTTCTTTTACCTGAAAAGTTACTTCAAAGTTGTTTTTGGTTTTCATCAACTCTAGGGGGGCCAAACCTGTAGGATGAGGTGAAAAAGAGAAAAAAAAGTTCGTTTTTTTTTTAGTTTTCGTTGTCAAAAGAAGGATTTCACCACATTTAACGTACCAGCATTATTAAATAATAAATGCAATTCACCGACTTCTTTGATAAATTTTTCAGCGAATGATTTCACGCTAGTTAAATCGGCGAGATCCATTTCCCACAATTCAACGTTATCGCTATGTCCATTTCTCAATCTGATATGTTCCAAGGTCGCTTCCCCTTTTACTAGATTTCTTACGGGCAAAATCAACTTTTTTGGATTATAGGATGCAATATATGCGGCCAAACTTTTACCTACGCCTAACGTTCCCAAAGGAAAGAATTAATTTAAAAAGAATGAAAAGGATAAAAAATAAATAAATAAAGAAAGAAAGAAGAGACGACGTTGAGGAAGATTTATCGGTTTACATACCAGCAGTCGCTCCGGTAATAATGACGACTTTTCCATTTAAATCTGGATGCTCAAATGTAGAAAGCTTGGAACCCATTAGGTGATTAGGTAATTTTATACTTTCTATTATCACGAAAAAAATTGAAGAGAATTTTTTTTTAAAAATTTCAAAATTTTGAATTTTTTTATTTTTTTTTTATTTATTTTTTTTTTTATCAAAAATTCGTCGTCTAAAATGAAAATCAAGCAAATTCAGGGAGGTTATAAATAAATATTTTTTTTTTTTTTTTTTTTTTTACAGTATAACAATAAATATAAAGAAAAGGTAAATAATTAAATAGAAAAATATTTTATAAAAAAAAAAACTATGGAGTTAAAATCGGGATTCTAGATTTGACGATGTCGTTACACAAACAATGTCGAATCATTTATGATTTTTGAATAACGATAAGCAAATCGTAACTTTATAAAAGAAAAAGAAAATGACTTGAACACGAGTGTCAAACAACAAAATTTGTTGGAGAAAGTTTCCTTCTAGAAAGTTTCTTGGTAAACAATCAAATGAAGTTTAAAAAAATATTAACGGAAACGATCATTGTTGCTTTTTTTTTTTTTATCCCAACAATTTTTGAAACAATTGCTGTACATTTCCCAACGAACAAATAGCCATTGTTAGCACATTGCAGCGAAACGAATACGGGTTAAGCTGAATATTTCTCGATTTGTAGCATAAAAATAAAGACTTCACGACCAAAAATCAATAATAATCCGGAGATACCGGCATGAAACTTTTTTTTTTTTACTAAAAAAATGATAAGCGCTTATCTGGTCTTTTTATCGTCATGTGATGATAAATCAATGACGTCCCGAGCACTAATCTTGATAATCTTGTAAATAATTCCGTAAAATTGGCGTGTAATAATATAATATAGACTTAAATAATTTAATTGACATTTTTTTTTCGGTATAATATTGACATACAAATTCCCTGTTTCGAAATCTCGATGAGACGGAGCAGATTCTTTGGTTCCAACTTTTTTTATTATTTCTTTTTTTGATTATTTATTTATTTATTTTTTTTAAAATAAAGCAATTATTCGTGATTATATTATGATGAGGTAGATCATGTAAAACGTGGACAAAAAACACCAATGTAACATGACAGCCCCTTAATTGATCGTGTTTTATTTATCTCCAAAATTATTTATTCAAGGATTGATCGTTTCAAGAAAAAAAAATTCAAAAACATATCGGCTTACGTAAATTGAGTTAGACGCATTCTTTTCCATTTTTCCATCCACCTAACCCAAATCAATCATGATTAAAAAAAAAACCTCCCTTTACATTATTTTACGATTTCTCAGATATAAATATTTGTTGTTGGGCGTAACAATTTTTTTGAATGGGAATAATGGGAATGGATTTAAAAGGTTTAAAAAAAATTGTATTGAGCTGCCGCAGAAAACTGATTTTCCTTACTAAAATAGTCTTTTTTTTTTATACCTGTATCTTACTTTGTATATTCAGACATGATTGGGTACTTGTTTTTTCCTCAATAGCGTAAAAGTCGGGGTGTCAAACTAGATTCAGAACCGGCGAGTGGGTGGTTTTCACTTGGAAGTTGTAATAACATTCTTAGTTTTCTGCCCGAATTCACGTTATTGGGCATAGATGTTGACCGCAGCCTCATCTGATCCCGAAATTTGCCTTCTTTCATTTTTCATCTACATACAACATGTGTGTGACGATATTCCAGATCCACCGCAAGACAGGGTGGAATAATAAAAACCTGTTTATGTTCTCTTTAAGAGAGGATCTTTACAGGTAAGGAAGTGATTAACAGGTGAAATTACATTGCTTGGCGTCATGATTTCATAAACCATACATCATTTCCATTCTGACCTTGATCTTCATGAAGCAACCTGGGTATTTAAATCTTTTATTAAAAATATATACAGTATACAATATATATATATATATTTGTTTATTCATACTTACGCGAAAAATGTGATGGTATGTCGTTGAACCTCAATCAATTAATTTCTCTGCCGATTTATTTACTCCATGAAATTTCATTTTAATCATTTTAAAATAAAATAATTCGGACATTCGGAACTTTTCGGTTCCGTGAAACTTAGAATGATTATTGTCGACATAATTTATTCGTTTTAAACCTATTTATTTATTTTTATTTTTGAATTTTGCCGGGTGTTTTAACTTTCCGTTTCGATTCAGTAAACATGCGTATTCAGGAGCGTTTTTTAGAAGCGTTCCTTTTTTTTTTTTTTTTTTGATTACTTCGACTTGGATCATCCAAATTTTTTACTCCTTTCAATTGATTTTGTGACTTTCAAATGGTGTGATACGTGAACCTTCAGAAATAAATAGTTCAAATATCAATATAATTTATACAATGCACTGTCGTGCGAATTTATGAAACCTTACAGTGAATTAAATATCGTAAAATCGGCGATTTCTCACGCCAAAAAAAAAAAAAAAAGATTACAATAAATTAATCAATAAATAAAAAATGATAGGTTGGCACAGTTGAATGTTTTTGGTATATTAAATAAATTAAATTGATACGTCTGACGGAAACGCGCAGCAAATCGCAACACGCTCGGTGCATTTAAAGAGAGTTAACCACAAAACAAGTATAACAAGTGTGAAGCTCTTGTATGTGAGAACTTTGTTAACGTCGTCTCCTTCCATTAAATAAAACCCGAATATACCATTATACCATACGTGTATGAATAAAATGAAATTTCTTATAAAATGATATATATGCTTCATTGAGAAAAGTTCCTCAAGTTTATTAATTATTAAGTTACGGATATAAAAAAAATTTAAAAATCTAGAAACAGCAGGCGTTTGCCTATAAAGAAAACAACCGCTGAAACTTGCCCATACCAATCGGGAGGAACTCCCATCATATTTTTGTTAATAATAGAAAGAACTAGATGTGATGCTACGATATGAGTAGTCATTAAAATGTATAACAACACAAAGGAGCAACAATTGTTTAAACAATTGGATATACATTTCCAGCATGCCGTGTAACATAACAGTGATAGAATCAACACTATCACCGTGATCGATATGATTAACGTGTTGTTCCGATCTGATGGTTTAAGTAGCGCGATTTCAAACCCTATCCAACCAGCAAGGTAAAGGATGATTGTCATCGCGAATCCGATCAGGCGGTATTTCGACTCCGTTTCATCTCCTATCTTGGTAACATAACAATCGTTAATTAACTTGAGACTCCATGGTGTGAGTTGTCCAAAGGCCATAAACATTGACATCCATTCTCCCTTACAACGGATGCATGTATAGATGACCGGTACTACTGTCATGACAGCCGAGATTGCCATCCTTGATGGTTTTTGTCTTTTGTAAGGTTTACACCACTTTGTTGGTGAGAACAAGGGACAATTCACGTATATTAAGATCATGGAGACGAGGGTCGACGCCCAACAGACTATCCCGAAATATCCATATGGCAATCCATAGCACGCCGCATCATGTTTTAGGTTTTCGTAGTGTGTTAGAACGTCTGGGCTTATTTCTAAACAAAAGAAAAAAAGAAATGTTACAAGGGTTTCGACGTTTAAACATTTGAGCAATTTAATATCAAAGCTTCAAGCCCACCATCCATTCTTTGTTCAAAGATATCGTTGACCCTGACTTTTCAGATGTTTGAATAGTCAATCGATGCGTCTTCATGAAAATTTAATGAAGTTCTTTATTGTCGCGAGTAAATTGAGGAATTGATTTCTGAAAATGATTGGCAGGGTTCTTCTTTACTCTTTACAATTTTTGGAACGTGAAATTTTGGGATTAGATATGATTTATTTCTAGACAGTATTTTTTTTTTTTACTTTTCAATTTAATTACGATCGATGGCAAATTGTTATATAAAGCAGGAATAACTTTTTTGAAAATACTTTAGAAATTTTTTTTTTTTTATGAATCCCTTCTCTCATTATTATTACTTAATAGGAATTGATTTGCTGTAACCTAATTTGTACATCAGATTTTGAACTGATTAAGTAAATCTTAATTTATCTAAAATGTATTAAATGATCATCGAATGAAATACAAAAAAAAAACATAACCAGAAGTAATAGACGTGAATCGTGCGTGTTCTGTGTGAACTACTATAAACATGTGTATAAAAAAGGATTGAAAAAAGCGCACCATTCAAAGCGAGCATAACAATTGGTACAAAATATATACATACATATATATTTGTTTGTATAAAAATGGATTTTCGTGAAGATTTTATCGTTTTATTATTTAGCTAAAAGAAAAGAATGCCGAAAAGCTTGTGTGATGTCGCTAAGCTTATTTAATACATCTTTGATATAAAATATATGTTGATCATACTAACCAATATTTTCTTTTTTTGGTTAGATTAATGACTAAGAAATGGTTTAGTCTTTTCTTCGTTTTTAGATGCTTTACGCTTATCAGTCATCGATTGTAGATCATTTCTATAGTACTAGAAAATTTGTATAACCATAAGCGAAAATTTCACATTATAATTAACCATCAAAAATTCCAACATTTCGTGCTACATAAATTAGAAAAATGGTAAAGCATCGTGTATTCTATCAATTTCTTTCCTCACTTTCTATTTTAATAACCGTCATTTCTTTTTTATATTTGGCGGAAAACTCGTACTAAAAACCAAGTTTTTTTCAAGATCCTTTTGAAGGTAGAAAGAAATGTATATTTTAACAACAGAAATATGTGTATTTTTATATATATCTTTCTTATTAAAACCTGTAACTGCTATTTATTATTGTAAAATAAACTCAATATTTTCAACGTTTTTATTACTCTACATAATAATATTGAAATGAAAATTTATAAAAACAATATATTACTCATTCTTGTATTTTGTCCTCTGCTTGTTTACCTTTTCTTTTTTCATAATTCTATGCATCTCTAATCTTTTTCTTTGTCCAACCATCCCAATAAGTTAGTAGAGTTTCCAATACTAAATCAATAGTTGTATCAGGTGGCATTGCGTCAAATGCAAATAAAGTTTCCAAAATTGCCTTTTCCTCTTTTGATGGATGGTGCCATTTGGCCTTTTTAAGAGTGAGTTCTTATTCAATAGCAAAAATATTTGAATTATGTGCTATTGAACTTTCAATTTGTGGATCATTAGTAGAATAAGTGCACTTTTTTTGTGCTTTTGTAGCTTTTAATAAGTCTATAACTTTTGTAGTAATAATACCTTTTGCACATCTACCTTTAGTATTAATTATTTCTAGGCGTAAAATCTCTTGCCAAAAGATTTATCTAGGCGTATCATACCATCATTATAACACCTAAACAGTTTCTCAAATCCTTCTGAGATTAATTGATCACAATTTTGAAAAATTAAATGCTATATTTCATCTTTCATTTCAAATGCTTCAAGTATTTATTCTATTAATTCCCATATTTTTCTCAGCATCTATTAACTGCCTGTGTGCTTGTAGATAATACTATATCACCAAGGAATTCATCAAGTAAAAGGTTCATTCTTTCCTTCTCTGATTGTACAGCTTTTCACTTATGACATTTCTAGTAATATTCTGTTTTATGAACTTTACACCAAATGTCTCTAAAGCTTCATCAAAGGCAAAATAATATCCATCTCATGTTAAATTAAGAATCTGCATATTTCAATAAAGTTGAAATATATGGATACTTAGCCAAAATTGCAAGAAAATGAATTGTTGATCAGGTATAATTAGACTTTCTGGCAATAGGAAAAAGAAAGCAAATGCAGACAAACACTGTATTTGTAATTCAGCATTTCCTGTTCTAATACCAGCTCAGTGCCCTTTTCAGATTCCAGCCCAGTGGTAAAAATGAAACCATACTTTTAATAAATTTTTTCTGAATTCATTATAGCTTCTAGTTCTAAATTATTTTTTGACATATAGATTTGAATAGCACTTCTAACGGTAACCCAAATTAAATTTAAGATATATCATATAGACCGATAGTTAATTACTTTTCAAGTTTATCTAAAAAAACTACACCAAGTTTTGTCATCATATTATAAATTCCATATCCTAAAAAAAATTGTAAGTAATATGCTATACATGTCTTTACTTGCATATTACTATTCTAAAAGTGGTCATATTCTAGGATTACTTTGATAGTATTTACAGTAGCGGTCATAAGTATCCGACCGCCTCTAACTCCGGTTACAAGTAAGTAAATTCAAAATTTTTTTTTTTATT